CGGTGTCTCCATCTGCACCACAAGGAGTTAGTTCTGAACTGGTGAATCTTTAAATGATTGTCCAGTTCGGAAACTTGGAACCTGAGACTTTTTCTAAAGCAGAAATCCGGGATGCTCTTTTGGAGAGTCAATAGAGGATGTGAGAATGCAGACCTGTCTCCTCTCAGAGTTGCTGGGTGCAGGGATCTGGGCAGGGGCAGGGAGAACGGAGCAGAGCTGTAGGTCACACTGGAGACTCGACGGGGAGAGAGTTGGAAAGCCCAGACCAGGCAGTTGTCAGGAAAGGAGCCATATGGCAGGACAGCTGGTGGGGTGCCTGCTGGCTACTCAGGAGGGCTGGACTGGAGATTACTTGCAGGAGGGAGGGAAAGGAGGTGAGAAATGATGACTGCCTTTGATGCTGAAAAATCTGCAGGCCTGCCTTCTGGAACTTGGGGGACAAGGGAGCTACAGTGCTCCCCTAAACCCCCACAACCTGCCCGGGGCTCAGGGAGGGAGACTTGAAAGAGGTGAATTTAGACTCATCAGAACTGCCTTAGCAAGTGGCTCCAAGAGGTGATGTGGTCTGGAGATGGAAATAGTTGCAAAGAAAGTTTAAGTGAAGCCAATGATGAGAGAGCTTATGTGAAACGGGCTACTCTGATTTAATAATAGTCTAGGAAGTTCTCTAAATCTGAAGGCTGTTATCCAAAGAAAAAGAGTGGGCTGTTCACTATACTCCCCTCCAGGAGCAAATCAGGGCAGACACAGACCCTGGCTATTCAGACACCTCAAATTGAATGGTTGGGAACAATGGACAGCATGTGAGGCTGAATAAAAACGCCTCATGGGGATAAAACTGTCTGAGCCTGGAGACTCCCCTGCCAGGCTTTAAGGAGCCATGCTCTCTCCTCCTGCGCAGTCTGTTGGGAGGAGGAAGGCAATCCCTCTGGGCCATCAGGAGATCTTGATCATGGGCTAGCTCGGCAGTGACTTGCTTTGTGACCTTAGCCAAGTCCCTTCTCCATACATAAACGAAGACCCGGGGATTCCATGAAGCCATTCAAGATCTAACATCTTGCCCTGGCCAGTGTTACTTAGTGGTTAGAGCGTCAGCCTGTACACCAGAGGGTTAGGGGTACAATTCCTGGTCAAGGGCACGTACCTGGGTTGCAGGTTCAATCTCCAAATCTCCAGCCCTGGTTGGGGCACATACATGCAGGAGGCAACCAATCAATGTCTGTCTGTCTGTCTGTCTGTCTGTCTCTCTCTCTCTTTTACCTTCTCTCCCCACACCCCCTTCTCCCTCCCTTTCATTCTCTCTAAAAATCAATGGAAAAAATATCCTCACTCCTCGGGTAAGGATTGAAAAAAAGATCTAGCATCTTACTACCCAATGGACCAAGCTAATCTTCATACAAGAGAATGAGAGCTAGTGCATTTGGTCACTTATCACATGCAGCCACTCTGATGGTAGCTGTGAAAAATCAAACCACATAAAACATGCAATGTGCCTATCACAGTGCCCGGTACCTGATGCAACATCCCTTTATAAGAGGAGGCAGGAGAACTATGCTTGTCATGTGTGGGACCAGGGTTTGGAGCAGGTCTTTCTGGGGATCTGTTCTCCTGACTCTACCCTCTGCTTATCCCTGTCTGAGCTTCTTCCTGGACAGGAAAATGCCCTTATGGCTCTTTTCCCTCTTCCAACTCCTCATCCTCTGAGAAGCCGTTTATCAAGACATCGGTTGCATTTTTACACACTAATAATGAACTATCAAAAAGGTAGACTAAAAAAAAATACCCAATCCCATTTACAGCTGCATCAAAACATACAATACCTAGAAATAAACTTAACCAACAAGGTAAAAAATCTGTACACAAAAATTGTAAGACACTCCAGAAAGAAACTGAAATAGATACATACTGGTATAAATGGAGGCATATGTCAAGATCATGGATACGAAGAATTAATATCATTAACATGTCCATACCACTCAAAGCAATCTCTTGATTCAACGTAATTCCTATCAAAATACCCATGCTGTTTTTCACAGAACTAGAGCAAAGAATCCAAAAATGTATATGGAACCACAAATCATTCCTTATAATTCCTCTCAAAACGCTTCCCATGGGAACTCCTTGGAAATCACTGGCATTCCTTGGAACACCATTTTGCAAATTAAATTTTCATATATTTCTTTCAATGGCATGAAATCTGCAAGCTGGTAAATTCCTTTTTCAGCTACAAGGGACAATTTTTTTTTTCACACAGCATTATTCTATCCATCATGATTCTCAAGGTAGAGTTTCATAGATTTTATTAAAACAACAGAAAACCAGTATTGTAAAATCTCAGTGTCAAGTAATTCATCCAGATTGTCCTTAAATTTCTCCCAGAGTTTTTCCAATAAAGCAGCATTCAGCTTCTGCTTAAGCCTCTGAGTAGCAAAAAGCAATTTGCTGGGAACTGGAGGGCTTGGCTCGGCCACTAAATTGCTGTGTGGCTGCCAGTCACTCTATCACCCTTGACTGATCCTTCAACCTTACCCTTTTGCCTGCAATTGCTCACTGGGCCTTGTCCATTATACCTCACAACTATCTCCCAACATTCCTTTTTATCTTCAATATTATTCCCATCATCCTGCTTCAAGGTGGCTTCAACCACAGACACCTTATTGACCCTCCATTCCACTCCTCCTGCCCCCTCATCACAATCTACTTCAGAGGCAGCCACCACAAGGGTGGAAATTACAATGCAGTCAAGACATGCTCCCCTCCCTTAACCAGTAAGAGCCCTCCCATCTGCTATTAGAATAAAGACCAGGCCTACAAGGCTCCTGTGACCTGCCACCGATTACTGAGCTGGTTTTGCTGCATACCATCCCCCCTCATTTGCTCAGCTCCAACCTCACCAGCCTTCATTGCCTGAAGTTTTAGAGAGTTTTTCCTTCTCAGAATATATGTCTCTGCTTGAGACCTTTTCTAAGGCTAATACCTCATCTTCCAGGTATTAGTTTAATAACACATCATGTACAAAGTAGACCCCAAAGCCTTATTACTGTGTTCTAGTCCAACAGATGTGCTCCGCCCCTCTCTAAACTACACCCAACTGCATTAGATCCCACTGCCGATTGCTTTCCTGGAATCCTGTATCTTAACTTCCTAGTACCTACTGCAAATTAAGTAAATGCAGAAGATCACAATCACACACACACACACACACACACACTCACTCACTCACACACTCACACATTCACACTCACACTCACACATTCATACTCACACACACACTCACTCACACACATACACATTCACACACACACACACACACACACACAAACACAGAATACCTAAGCACCACAGGGTATGGGGCCATTTTCATCTCATTTTCCACTGTATCCCAAGTCGCCAGCATGGGACCTGGGACATATTAGGTGCTCAGAGCGCGTGCGATCACTACCTAGGTGAACGCTTTTAGGGAATTCACATTACATTTCCATTCTAGTTCTATGAAATGGGAAGCGATGAGGTGTGCTGAGCTAGAGGGCAGGGGCAGGGCTTTGGAGCCAGCCAGGCTGACATGTGAGTCCTCTCTCTCTCATTCGATGGTGACCTTTCCCTCTCTGGTGTTAACTGTTCAGGTGTGAAATGAAGGCCATGGGGCCTCCAAGGGTTTTACTGATGAAGCTAAACTGGCATTCTCCTGGCCCTCCCTCTCCCTGGAAGGGGGATGTGGGAAAGCCACTAGACATTTCCATTTCTTAGCAGGGTAAAGGGGGTGATCACAGTCCCTGCTCCCTAGGACCATGGTGAGGATGACATGACAAAATGGGTCAATGGTGCTAAGAATGCCCTCCACATGAGTTGAATTAATGTTAGTGGCCCTTCTTCTTCTTCTTCTTCTTATTATTATTATCATCATCATCATCATCATCATCATTATTACAGCTTGATATATAGTAATTCTTAATAAATAGCAGCCACTATTACCACTCCAACTACAATAACCACTATCATTAATCTGATGATGGGATAAGGATGACAATTTCTATAAGGGTGATGTTTCTTACTAGCTCTGACTTTGTTGGTAAAACCTCAAGTGGTGGGGAGAACCTGCTTTGTAATATCCTGTCACATATTCATGCAAAACTACCTAACAGTATAGTTGTTCTTTTTAAAAAAAGAGAATTTCTTATACACGGTATAGTTCTTCTCCCTCTACATCTTATGGGTCTTCAGATTCAGGCATGGATACATCCCACTCAAGGTCTTTCTTCTCCCAAGAGAACAACCTGTTACTTCAACCTTCCCAGGGGGCCTTTCTCAAAGAGACTGCATGTCCAATCCCCATATCATTTGGCCAACCCAGTCCCAGTTCTGTTTGCTCTCATAAGAGAGTAGTCTCATATTTTAGTTTCTCATGTGCCTCTGTATTGGTTAACAGGGAAATGGGTCTTTGACATATTGCTAACAAAAACATAAAGGGGTTTCTAAATAGCTTTACCGAGATTTGGTGCGTGTGTGTGTGTGTGTGTGTGTGTGCGCGCGCAGATGGAGGAGAAAGGAGAGAGAGAGGTGTTTTAAGAATGTTCAAGAAAATATTAATTCTGCGTATCTCTGGGTAATGGTAATTTTATTTTCTACTTCATTAAATGTCTTTATTTTTGAACTGCTTGACTAGACTACACAGGACACTTATTTTGTAATACACTGAAAGATTAATTAAATTTTTAAAAAACTCCATTAACTATACTTACAGGAGGATTTTAAATTAAATTGAAAATATGTGGACAGAGTTAGAAAAATGGGAGGGTGGGATGAATAAGGGCTAGCTAGGTCAGAGAAGGAACCTCATGGACTGAATTTTCTGACTTCTAACACTCATGGGCGGGCATCAGTGAGCTTGGGGAGATGCTTGCCAGTGTAAGAGGACTCGGTTCAATGGTGCCCATGGCTCCTCCCGCCCACATTTTGGGTCAATGACTCAACCAGTGAAGTGCCAAGGACGGCCCCCATACCTAAAGGTCATCTGGAAGACTTGGCCTTGGTTCACATGCTGGGTCCGGTTGTTGTAGCCATGTAGCATCTCTCCAAAGAGGGTGTCGTTGAATTTGGAGTCGGGCTTGAGGCACTTGGGGCCCTCGCAGACATCGGAGAGCATGAGGCAGGACTTCCCATCGGGCGCCAGCTTGTACTCCTCCACGCAGCTGCGTGACAGAGCAGAGCCGAGAGTTAGCGGCGTGTGGGGATGCCCCCGCAGAGGCGACCTGACACCGAGGCCTCCTTTGCCTGCAAAACAGGTCAGAGTTTAGGAATGGAGACAGCTCTTCTGGCGGGAGTCTATCTAGGGCACAGGTGTCTTGAGAGAAGCACATTAATCCTGCAAATTGGTAAATCCAAGGGAAGTCATTTGTGACATTTCAGAGGAGCCGAGGGGAAACCCAGAGTGCACATTCATGCACAAAGGAAATTTAAAAATGGTTTTCCATGAGCACACAGACTTCCAGGAGCATGACAGACCATTTCACTGGGAATCATCAACTAGCTCCTCCAACCGGAATCTATTCCCAGTGTATCTGTCGACCAAGGTGAAAGACTAGTGCAAAAACAAGGTTTTTATTACCCTTGTAGCTCAGAGGGGATTCTTCCAGGACCACGGACAGCACAGGCAGCAGCTGCCACTTCTGTTCAATTAGCAATGTTCACAGCCTCTCCTGGCCTCTAAGGACCAGTCCTGATAGCACCAGGGCCCTGGACATACCTCTGCAGCAGGGCGCGCTCCTCTATGGACCAAACAGGCAGCTGAATGGGATGTGGAAGTAATATTTGCGATGTTTGCGTTTGCAGTGGGAAAGGAATCTCTTGAGAGAGGCATGGGGAGAAGGGAGGAAGCATAAAAACCAGCCCCTGACAAACATCAACCCAGAAACGGGAATTCTTTGAGTGTCCACCTGTTCATGGTCCTTTGCTACACACAAGGGATAGAGCACACATAATAAACAAGAGCTGGACAATTGGAGAAACTGTATCAATACCATCTCTGTGTCTTTGGACCTCTCTAAGCCTTGGCAAGTCATTTGACTCTCCAATCTCCAGTTTCCTCATCTGTGAAATGGGGTAGACACTCCGACCTTCATTGACTAGGATGCTATGAGGTCCCGTGATACATTGGATGCAAAAACACCCACACAGGAACTGCAGGTAGTTAACAAGGTAATTGTAGGAATGGTGGCAATGGTGCTGTTTCTATTTATTGAGCACATAAGATCCACTGGGTACTTTGCATATCAATATTCGATCATGAAAAAAAAAAGTAGTATCATCATTCCTGCCTTACAAAGAAGCAAAATGAGGAGCCAAGAAATAAAGCATGTCACACCAAAAGTGGCAAAGCTGGCAATCAAATGCAGGTCTCTTCCAACCAATGTGCAGTGGGAAGGTCCGGAAGAAGGCGTGTCCTGGTGCCCTGGTCATGTCTATTTCCCTTTCTGCTTGCCTGTGTTACATGTAAGCAATTAACCTTCAATAAAGTTGCAGTACAGCTAAAGCAAGTTCTAGAAACATGCAGAGTATATAATAAGGACTTGAAAAAGTGTAAATCCATGTATGCCAGGAACTTCCCAGCAAATATGAGAAATGATTTACACACTCATGATTAAGTACACTTTTGTTGTAAATGATTTAATATTACAGAGCAAAATGTGGAAATTCCTCATTTCCCACGCCACATATATTTTACTTCCTGTTCTAGCGGTCATCATTGTTAACTATTATGTATTCTTCCAAAGTTTTATCAGTGCATTTAAAGATACACATTAAATATAATTTATATATAAGTATCCCCTCAAAATGTATACATACTTTAACAGATAATCTATTACATTTTGAAAAAGAAATGTAATTTAATAAGCACCGCCTTTGTAATTATTCAAAGTGTGAATACATTTTTGGGGACACCCGTGTGTGTGTGTGTATGTGTATATGTGTTGTGAGACACGCATTTGTACCTAATACTATTTCTTAAAGATCTTTTCAAATCTGTATTCATAGAGATCTTTTTAATAGTTATTTGGCATGGCACATTATAAATGTACCAGAATGCTTTTAACTAATCTTTATTGATGGGCATTTTGGTTGTTTATAGCTGTTTGCTATTACAAACGGCACCATAATAAAGATCATTGTACATATATCACTGCACGTGTGTGCATTTCTGTAAGAGAGATTTCTAGAAGAGGATTGCTGGGTCAATGTTTTAGGAATTTTAAAATTTTGATAGATCTTCTAAATGACTGTCCTCAGAGACTCTACGAGCTTACAATCGGTCCGTGATGAATGAGAGCGCCCATTGCCCACATTTTTCATGTTCATTACTGCCGATCTGGGATGGGGGAAAATAGTGTACTTTTGTTGGGATTTGCATTTCCTGATGACTGGTGAGGTCCACTATCTTTTCATGCCATGGTCTGTGTATTTCTTCGTCTGCAGATTGTCCGACCATATGCGTTGACCATTTTTCTATTGGAATTCTTACCCTTTTCCTTACTGACTTGTAGATGTTTTGCCTATTTTGTGAATAGTGACCCTTCTCCTTCCATATATATTGACATTTTCTTCCAGTCTGTATTTGTATTTTAATCTTGCTTTTAAGATCTTATACCCTCTCTATCCTGGCTGGTCCTTTATTGCTTCTGAATTTTGTGCAATGCTCAGGAAGCCACACAATGACAAAACATCTTCCTTTATATTCTTCTAATATATATAGTTTTTACCTCTCTAGCTCTTTAATCGATGTGGAATTAAATTTTGTGCATGGTAGAAGTGGTTATTTTGACTCATTTTTATAATGAGTACTAATGACCTGAAGGTCCTTGCTTTCACTACTTTGAAATGCTGTTTTGTCATATACTACATCCCTATGTATACCATGTATACACGATTGGAGTTTTCCCTATTGAATGATCTGGATATTCCTGCAATAATTCTACTCCAGTCTCATCACTATGGCTCTATACTGTGGTCTGGATATAGTAAAGTAAGTCCCCTCCCCATCACGAACACAAATTTTCTATTCAAAATGTTCCCATTATTCTCACTCATTTTCCCCTTCAGATGAATTCTGGAGTTGGCTTGTGAAGTTCCATATAAAACCCAAGTGGAATTTGGGGTGGTACTGCATTGAATTTGTAGACTACCTTGGGGGAAGGTTTAAATATTTTTTTCCCCTTTCAGAAGTATATAGTAAGAGCCAACTGTGTGCTGGGCACTGCTGACCACTGTGGCAGGGGTGGTGTCACACGCTGGGTCCTCTTCCTGGACCTGAGCTGTAGACAGAGGTTCTGAGATGCCCTTGTAGCTGGGCTGGAGGGACCCTGTGACAGGACAGGGAAGGACGGCATCTGTGCTGAAAGGGCTCATGCCATGGCCAGACCCGGCTCTGTTTCTCAGCCCTCTCCTCTCTCGCCACGGCCAGCCTGCATCCAGACGCGGAGTACTGGATGGAAGCAGGCTGCCCATTCACAATGGACCTCGCATGAACAATGCATAAAATCTTGTGTGTGAGCTTCCCTTTGGAGGACCATTTGGGAGAGCAACATAGCTTCTCTTATCCTAGCTGACTGATACAGCATCTTCACAGTTGTGAGTCTTCTAAATCTAGTTTGCATCTCCATTTATCAAATGTCCCTTTAAACCCTTCACTGAATGTATTGCTATTTGATCACAACAGTCTTGCACATCTCTTGTGAGTGTGCGTGGGGGGATCCTTCACAGGTATTTGTGTGATGCACTATGCTCTAGAGCAGCGGTTCTCAACCTGTGGGTCGCGATCCCTTTGGGGGTCGAACGACCCTTTCACAGGGGTCGCCTAAGACTATCGGAAAACACATATATAATTACATATTGTTTTTGTGATTAATCACTATGCTTTAATTATGTTCAATTTGTAACAATGAAATTGGGTGTCACCACAACGTGAGGAACTGTATTAAAGGGTCGCAGCATGAGGAAGGTTGAGAACCACTGCTCTAGAGGTTACAAACACGCATCTTGGATCCAGACCACTGGAGTATAAATCCTGATTCCCTTCCTTACTGTGTGACCTTGGAAAAAATGCTTAACCTCTCTGGACTTCCTTTGTTTACCTATAAAGAAGCCCCCACCTTATCGCGCCACTGTTAGGAAATGATTCGTGTTTGGAATATAGTGTGAAACACACAACTCCCATTACTACAGTCTTCTCCACCTCGGGAGTAGGATCGGTTTTCCTCTTATGTTTTCCCTTATATTTTCCCGTGTTATTGCTGATGTTGAGGAGAGCTAGTACTGATTTTCATATATTGATTTTTCATCAGACCACATAAGGAACTCATCAGCTCTAATATGTGGACAGATTTTTCGGGATGGAGGACTTTATATTTGCCCAGTTTGGGTCTGAGGATAATGTGAGCATGTGGACTATATTAGAACATTGTCCTTTCCTTTCTCTGCGTAGCTTTTATAAGATACGATGTGGTGGGACCTGCCTATAATCCCCTGGGCTTGATGTCTTCTTTTCCACTGTAGCTCTTTAAGCTCTCTTATCAGTTTATTTTATATTATCTGTCAATTTAGATTTTCCACACCATCGTGACTCTAACTTGGTAATTTATATTTTCTAAGAAAATATTGCATTTTATCAAGACTCAAATTTATTGGTCTATAGTCATACACAGTATTCTCATTAGATGTGTTTTATCTTCTGTGCTTCCATGGTGATGTCCCTAGCTCGTTCCTAATGTGCTTATTTGTGTTTCTGTCTCACTCTCCTTTGAACGGGCTTTTTTCATTTTATTGATGGGGCTCCTTTTATTTTTTTTCCTATTTTATTTATTTCGGCTTTTATTTGTATTAATTCCTTCCTACTGCTGTCTTTGACTTTGCTTCAGGATTCTTTTTTATGGTCTCTTGAGCTGAAGGCTTCACTTGCTTGGTTTCAAGCTTTCTTGCTTCTTGATAAATGCCATAGGCTCCCAAGTATGACATTGCCACGCCCTGCATGAGTTCGAAATGCAGCTTTCCAGCTCCCGCTCCTTTCTCAAGAGGCGGGGATTCCAATTTGTGTTTTTCCTTATCCGGGTGTTACGCTGAGGGTTGTCTTTCTGTAACTCTCAAGTAGTTAGATTCACTTGCTAGCTAGAGTGTTCTTAATACAAAATAGCATTGCCTT